TGTCTGGTCTTTCCCTATTAGTGGCCTTGTTTCCAAGCAAACTGGCCCAGGATACAGAAGCCGACCTGGGCCAAGCTGGAAAATGATAAGGCCCTCTAATGTAAATTAACGGTTTGAGAAACAAATCTGTCCGAAATTACGATGGCTTCAGGAAGCTGTCAAAAAGTGAAGTGAAAAAGGAAGAATGAGAACCAGAAATGCTTTCAGAATTTTGAAATCGCGATAGCTTGACAAGAACCTGATATTAGAAAAACTGAGGTTTTGAATGAGAAACCATAGAATCGTAACTGAAACCCTCACATTTATTTAAAATTGCTCGAAAACAGGAAAATGTGGTTACTTGGCTGCGCATTTGCCGTGGCGGTGGTAGTCACAGCTGGCAGCTTCGACGGTTTCAAAGAGGTTGGGATGTATCAAATGATCTATATAAGATGTGGAAAACCGCTCATGCTCAAAATATACAACAGCCGAACAGTGAATGCGCTGCTCAATCTCCCGCACATGCATCTGATAGATGACGTGTTCATCAGAAATGGGAAATTGACTGCCTTCGCGGTTAGTCTTAAGCTTCGCGTTTGGGAAAAATACTTCAGTCAAATTTCGTTAAAACTCAAAAACCTACTGATACAGGACGCGCAGGTTTTGTGTGGTGAAAACTGATATCTATAGCTATGCGCGCGAACTATTGCTTTGAATTCGCCAGCGGGGAAATCAATCTTTCAAAAGCTGTTGATTTGTATCACTGATAGAAATCCTCCGGATATTTCTGAATGTTTCCATCTCTCTCAGCGAGTCACTTCCGGTTATGGCAGAATATATTTTTTAATTGGCAATTTAAGTAACCGTGATTACAAAAAAAAAGATGCTTTAATAATTGTGAATGATCATACAAGAAGAAAGAAAGGACTGTTTTACGGCAAGTACGAAAAAGTTCCTCACTTTATCATTTGGGGCAACTGGCTCCTTTTCTTTAAAAATAGGAAAATTTTTCCTGTGACCGGTCAGCGCGGCCCATCAAAAATCTTATGTTTAGTTACATTCCACTCGGCAGAATTGGCCCTAAAATCTGCGAAGTATTGCCCAATAGGTCCTACATGACGCTCAGCTCTCTACTAACAAAGAAAGCGTGAATGAATGCTAGAATCACTGGCAGACTGACCATCAGCAATACAGTGGTCACAGCAGGCGTAGCGACGGTAAGGGGCTAGTGCATTTACGGTGGACGGCCAATGATTAGATGCTTCATTCATTTGATAAGAACATACGC